CTAGATTAACAGCTTCCTGGCTAAACTCCTTGACAATTCCAAAGCCTACTCTCTAACATTAGAAATATCAGAAGGGAAGGGCTAAGGCTGATGAAACCCTAGAATCAGCAGCTTTTTCTCTATTAACTTATCCCAGGATGATTTCTGGAAATCTAATTGGGTCCACCCAGGTAAGGACTTGCACTCTAATAAAGTTTACATTTTACCACAGCTGTCCAAGCCATTAGAGAAATTCGACCTCAGCCTGATTCCAGCAACAGTTTAGAATTTGAAACATGTCTAGGGGCTTGCAGAAGAGCATGTAGAAATGAAGCCTGTTTCGTTTCCAGCCTTGTTAAAGCTGCTGAGATCCATATAGTAAGAGGGACTTCTGCCTCCTCTCCACAGAAACAGAGTGAGTCAGAAGGGCTCTCCCAGGCCATCTAGTCTGACTCCCAGCTCAACCCACATGTGGAGGTTGGAAGGGATGCCTGGCAGACAACACATGGGGGTTGGGCCCATTAACCCCCTCATACAAGTACGTAACTGGCAATGCCGAAACGTGGATATAATGCCTTCTCTCTACAGTTGCTTTTACACTACTTTATTGTTGGATTTATTCTTGTTTGTTCCTGTGATAACCACAGTTGTCATTGTGTTGTATTTTGCTGTTTGTGTAAGCTGCATCGAACTACATGATGAAAGGTGGGGAAGTGAATGATGGTGGTAACGACGACGATGATGATGGTTCCCCCAGGAGGAAAGGTAAGCTGCCTATACTTTGTTTCCAACCATGGGTAGCCAATACTGTTAATTTGGGAGGGATGGATAAAGCTGGAAAGGGTCTCTGCAAATAGCAGTGTCCCCCACACTTGATGAAAACAGACCCACTCTGAATGAGCAACTTTGCAGGTATGGTCCTTCCCAAGAAGAAGCCAATGTATCCAGCCAATCTTTTCAGGTCAACCGGACCTGACTTGAAACCCCTACCACAGTTTTGGAGATAGGCAGAGGGCACCGCCAACCCTCAACTGATCAGGAAAGGGAAATGGCGGCAAGGGTGAAAAAGAAAAAAGGAAAACCCTAGGGCAAATGTCAAGATGCTTTAATTGCACATTAAATAATAGATTAGACAAGAAGCCATTCAGTATCTGTGCTGAATTGGGTCCTAATGCATACAGGCTATAGCCAAAGCTGCAGAAACAGTGATGGGGAAAAAGAAGGCGGCAATGATGACACGGGCAAGAAAACACGAAGAACCAAAAATGCTTCAATGGACAGCATGTTGCAGTGCACAGGAATTCTCATCGTCAAATTGTAGGGATGGATCACCTGGATGTAAAGAATGAACCGCTTACTTGTATTTTCATTGGTGTCACCCATATGCTTGATGCACAGAGGCCACGACGAAGACAAGGCCTTTGTTAAGAACCAAGGCAATGTGTGAGCTTATTTTCAATACTGAGAATGATGAGAAACACATCATGAGAGAATTCCAAGAAAAGCAAACAGCTTAAAGAACAGCTATATAATTCATTCCTAACATGTTTCAAGGGTGACTCTTCTTCAACAGATATAAGCTATGGAAAACAAGCCAAGGCAGTTGGAATTTGTTTACCCCTAACATGCACTCAAGCATACTGCTTGATGCCAAAACCTGTGTGGTAATAAAGGACCCCACCCTTTTTAATCTTCAGCTACCCTTAGGCAGTAAAGGTGGTTGGGGATTTTTCAATTTTTCGTTCCTGCCTTTTGCTTCATTTTGTCTTGTTTGGTGGCCACACTTGTTTGATGTACTTTTTCTCCAGCTGAGAAACAGACTTGCTCTTTTAGTCGTATCACTCATCTCTATGATTGTGAACACAAACAATGGTAATCGTGTATTCAAAGTTAGCAGGTCCAAATATTTATCACATATACTATTGGTAAGAAACATAGACCAATCTGGCATAGTTTTCTTCTGATATTTTTCTACATATCCGGACAATTAGACTTCAGTAAGAAGAAGTTAGAAGTTCAATAAAGTAAAGTTAGGCAAGTGTATATGATTTGTTTGCTTGAGGAGTCAAAACATGCTCACCATTAAACTTCTAAATTTCCTGTTTTCTGCGATGTGAAAAAAGCATTCTCTTGTGAAAATCCTGATGTGCTTCACTTCGTTATTGTACCTATGGGCAATGAATAACTTATGAATATAAATGTGTTTTTAATCAGCAAAGATCAATAACTACTTGAGGGCATGCCCTACCACTATTGAATTAAATTCTTAAGACAAAACATATAACCATGCCAATACACCGTTGACACCTAATTAACAAAACACCTTTATTAGGGTCTGGGTGAAGACAGTCTCAATTCAGATTTTAGCAAAAGCCTTCCAGCGTGATCTAATTATGGGATCCTATAATACTGATTGCATTCCAGATGACAAACCATACCGGTGGCCTTTTTTATATATATATATATATATTTCTGTGGACACTTTAAGCTTGTTCCTACTCACATTCCATTCAAGGGCAAGATTCTGCTTGACTCCAGTTAGCAGTCAAATCAATTCTAAACAATTTGCTAGTTAAAATGCAAATGGGACCACTAAATCAGCAGATGCTAACTAGAGCAAAGTCGTTTGTGCCCCAAGTCATAGATCTGTTAGTGCACAGATTACTAACGAGGAGAGGAGGCAGAGGCCTGAAGTCCAAAGCAAGGGGTGTGGCTGGGCTCATGCAACAAGGAAAGAGTTGCACGCTTTGCTGTTATACATGCCCATCCTTGCACCAAGATGCCCTCCCAGCACAGGGCAGCTGGATGAAAGAGCTTTTTTGCTACACAGCAGGAATGATTCATGAGCAAAAATCATTTTCTGCATGTAGACTACCATTATCGGATTAGGAACTCTTTTTTCAAGAAGGGCCACGAGTTGTACAAACAGGCCAAAATGACTTTTGCTGCCATCAAGATTTTCATAAATATTCCAGCTCATTTTAACAGAGGGAATAAATTGTACACAGCTCAAAGTGGAATTGACAGCCAGAAGTTGGTTGCGAACATTCAAATAGCAACTGCAAAAGCAATGAAAAAAAGAAAAACATTTGCAGGGGGGAAATCACTTACTTTATGCTAATGGCATATTCTCCAGATTCTTTTGTCCTATACCGCACTAAGTAAGTGCTATTTACCCGGTTTATAAGTTCAGTCTCTGCTTGCAGCCTTTCCATTGTTCCTGCATACCTGCAACAAAATGCGATTCCTCTTAAGCATGCCTGCCTTCCGAACATACGCGAGACAAAGAGGCTTTGCAGTGGTTGTTTCAAGTGGACAGGATCCCATGCCTTTGGCCATGTGCCCTGTTCACAACTGGCATGCGAAGCGAACATGATGAACAGAGTCGCTATCCAAAAAAGCGAAGAGATCTTACCTGTTGTCCCCAGTATCACCCAAGTCCCCAACATTTATCACCTGAGTAAGTCCTTGCACTGGCGTGAACCACATGCAACAGCAAATTGTGTGCCACTTTTTCTGATTTCCCTGCATGTGACCAATTGGCTGGATGCAGGATTCCAGCCAAGGGGGAACATTCCCAGAACTATTACACGTGCAATATCCACACAGAAGTATACCTTTGGTCTCTGGAATGGGATGACAGTACTTTTGCTCTATAATTACCAATTATTTACTTATTTATTAATAGCTTTTGTATGCCGTCCTATTATACAAGGTCTCAGGACGGCTTGCAATATTTAAAGACAATTAAAACAACAATTGCAATAAATAATAAAACAGAACAATACAATAAATTGCAAAACAAGCAGAGAGACTAAACTTAAAAACTATTAAAGTTTAAATTACTGTTTAAATAAAAAGGTTTGGGCCTGGCGCCGAAAAGAGTATAAACTTGGCGACAGGCGTACCTCTCTGGGGAGTACATTCCAGAGTCTGGGTGCCACTGCAAAGAAGGCCCTACTCCGAGTTGATGACCTTTTTACCTCTCTTAGAGAGGGTTCCCGGAGTAGGGCTTCTCCCATAGATCTTAAGGGGTGTGAGGGCATATAAGGAAGGAAGGAGATGTAAGAATTCTATGTATGTGTAGTATCTTGGATCCAGTATACCCAATATCTCTCTCATTTCCAGGTGGCGTGCTAAGAGCTTGCTAAAGAGACTTAAGACAGGATCCCCAACCCCTAGGCCACAGACCAATGCCAGTCCATGGGCTCTAGGAACCCGGCCGTATCTCAAAAGGTGAGTGACAGGCAAGCAAATGACAGTCAAGGTTCATCTGTGAGCAGAACCTCCATAATTCCCTTCCTTCTTTTGCTTGCAGGCGGCTATGGCACCAAAGCGCAGGAGAAGGAGGTGGGACAGCAAGAGTGCTCTGACCAAATGAGTCCAATATTTTACAAATGGGCTAAAGGTCCTCTGACAGACACCTCGTTTCTCCAGTAAGACAATGATTGGAACTGTGCCTCAACCAGCAGTATGCAAGAGCATGTGTGGACTGTGGCTTGGGCACGGGGCAGGCACTACAATAAAAAAGGTGGAACGACAGAGACTCAGACCAATGGAAGCAAGTGGACTGAACTGAGGGAATGGGGCGGGCTCATCCATTTTTTCCAATATTCCTACGAGAGTGCAAACCCTACTGTACTGCACATGGACGAGACCTGAGTGGTACACGCCTTATGCGAATCTAATGCCTGATGATCTGAGGTGGAGCTGAGGTGGTGAGTTGTACAATTATTTCATTATATATTACAATGCAATAATAATAGCCATAAAGTGCACAATAAATGCAATGTGTTGAATCATCCCAAAACCACCAGTACCACCACCCCGGCCCGGTCCATGGAAAAACTGTCTTCCACAAAACAGGTCCCTGGTGACAAAAGGGCTGGGAATCACTGACTGAAGAGAACCACTGGCACGCCATGGTAAATATTGAAAGGCGCCAGGGAAGTCCTGGTGGGAGTCCTTCCTAAGAGAACCAGGAATTCTGCTGCATCCCTGCATTCCATCAAAACAGAGACAGAGATGGGAAAGCACCACATGACCTGCTTACATGCCTCACATTATACTGATCATCACCACCACCACCACCAATGACTAAACTAGGGCTTAGGAGCATAGGAGATTGCCTTATCCCAAGTACAACCTCAGATCCATCCAAGTGGGACTGAGCTATGCTACCTGGCAGGGTTTCCAAAAAGATTCTTTCCCAAGCTATTACTGCAACTGAACCCGGAACCTTTTGCACGCACAGCCCATGCTATAGCACTGACAGAGAGAGAGAGAGATTCCCCTGACAAACTGAGACTATGGGAAATGAGAAGAGGTACACTGATTATGGATCATGGGCTTGGGTGAGGGAGAAAACAGTGGTCCAGAGGGAAAGGACACCAACATGCAAGTCTTTGAGGCTTTTCTGTCCTTTCGCCATCCCTTGTTCATTGTATTAATTCACAGAGCCACAGTCTCTATCTACATAGAAACTTGGAAACAAACCCTCAAAATCCTAAAGGAAGGTACACCTAATGAAAAATGCTGCTAGGGAGTGTAGATATTCAATTATTTTTGCCTACACTGCAACAAAATGCCTTCTGCAGAAGATTGGAAAGGTTAAACCACAACATTGCTATTAATATCACTTTTTCTCTCAGGCTATTGCTTATTCTTTCAGTACCAACAAATGCAACACACAGAGTTTATAGCTACTCACCAGGGCTGGGAAGAATAGTCTACTGGTTTAGGAACCTAATAGTTTAGAAAAACAAATACAAATTGCAATGAAATGTATCATTTGCATGTTGTTAGCAACTAGTTTCTCACTAAACATGCAACAGGTCGATACAAAGGTCAGCAACCACATGTTACAAATTAGAATACCTACCATCCTCTGAACTGAATCAAAGAGAAAAAATGAAAGCACAACCCATCCTAAAACAAGTCCATTTAAATTCCTTCTGTTTCAGTGGCAGAATGAGGCATGTGCTTAATAATCTGTCACTTAAGAATTGTGGAATGATTCAAAGATTTCAGCTTCACTTGAATATTAAACTAAAAGCTCTGCCCACCACAGTTGAAAAGCAGGAGCTGTTAAATGAAAATGGTCACCCTGCTATTTCCTCGCAAAGTCCCTCTTTGTTTAGACAGGCAGCAAAATGCCTTCACAACACCACCCAAAGAATTGCCTGTGACCAGGAGCAACATATAATACCCATGAAAATCAACATGGTTTACAGTAGCATATAGTAGCATATAATCCCTACATTTCAAATGTAGCAACAGTATTTATGTTTAAAAGACGCAGTTTTATAGAGTGTCCAATTTTCCAGCTTAGCATATTCTTTTTCCATTTCTCATATTGTAAAATAAGCAGGTGGCCTCATCTTTTTTTCACCAGAGAAGTACTGAGCATTCACAAGACACTGAGCTGGGTCAATTGTGGTACTTTGTACCCATCTCGCGGGTGCAAGACATATCACAATAAGCCTACTAACCTAGAACATACAATTATTCAACTGAGAAACCATGCCACTATTGCAACACTGCTGGCAGAAAAAATAATAAAGAATTCATGCAATAATTGACAAAAACAACACCAATCAAATAGAATGACAAAAGTAAATATAAGCTATTATTCATAAAATATGAAAAATGCCTTCCTTTTCCATATTGCAAACAGACAGATGCTTATCGGTTTATCTGACATTGCACCACTTTATAGAAATTCCAGATCTGGTCATTTCTCATTCAATATTTATTCTTCCTGCATTTTGATGTATGTATTTTATGCTGTTTCTGGGTACTTTTATATGGAGTGGTAGTTAAAGACTGTTATGGAATAATGGTAAAGTTACATTTCTCTGAAGATTTAATAAATGACGCAGATTTTCCAGCTGTTAATGTTTGTTCTAAGACAATGTCTGTACTTTGCTCTTCCAGGTGTGCAACAGTGAAGAATCTATTTATCGTTCTAAGAACATTTGGTTGCTAATAGGCTAAGATACAGCAAATGCATGCAAGTTTCACAATACCGGAATCTATTTAACTGAAAACCATGCTATTGGCTGATAATTATCATTCACTTTTATGGCTTTTCCAGATTTCCGTCCTAGATAGAAGCACTGAACACACATGTATAACTGTGTGTTATATGACTCATGTGGGTTTTTCTATGAACTATGAATGTGAGTAAATGGGAAGTAAACTTTTAAGAAAGCACAAAAACAGTGCTGGCAAGATAAACTGGTTATAAATTGATGACAAACACATTTGAGCTGGAAATCAGAAGATTTGGAACCATCATATTTAATCATGCATATGGAAGGACTAATCGGAGAAGTCCATGATGCTGGGAAGGATTGAAGGCAAAAGGAGAAGGGGATGGCAGAAGTTGAGGTGGCTGGTTGGAATCACTGGGGAGGTGGGCGTGAGGTTGGGTGGACTCCAGGGACGGTGGAGGATAGGAGAACCCGGAGGAATGCTGTCCATGGAGTCATGAAGAGTCAGACACGACTTTGTGACTGAACCACTACAACAATGGTTAAAGACAAAAGCTGCAGGGGTGCCAATCAGAATAGGGACCAGTAAACACAGGGTCCAGGGTTAATCATTTCATCTGCACCACTGTCCCCATGAAAATCAGCTTCTTGAAGCTGTCCTTTGCCCAAAAAAGAAAGCTGTGATGCTGAAAGAATGCCACAGGCTTTGAGCATTTAACACAGGCCTGGCACCAGATTCTTCCTTTTTCATTTTTATGCCACCCCCATCACAACAAAGCCTTGGGGCGGCTTACAACAAAAACAAAATTATACAAAATTATACAAAAACAAAGTTATACACTAAAACTATTAAAATATTTTTGGAAGAGGCTGGCTGTGGCAGCTGCCAGCCTAACCCTCCCCTTACTTGTGAGCAGGCTTGCCCCAGCATGGCAGGGCTTTCATGGCCACAACTGTGAGGGACACCTGTTCATGAGTGTTTGAGGGGCTGGGAGCAGCTGTCAGTTTCTCCCTCCCTCCCTTGCAGCCTTGCATAAAATTACACATGAAGGGCCAGCAGTTAAGTAGCAACCCAGCTTTTGGCCGACTACAGCACGGCCACTGGATAAACCCATCTGTAAGCAAGCGCCAGTGTGGAGTTTTGGCAGCCGCAGCAGCACCACTGCTGGGGGTTCAAGGGATGATGGGGGCAGCCACGGCATCAGCTCTTACAGCCTTGCTGGAACACATGAGACACCCTGTATTTCAGCTGTTAATGACACAAAGAGACTCACTGGATCCAATGAAAAATCAAGCATCTTTGGGCTACGATCTTGTGAAGGGTATTTATTGGCTTGTCTCCCTACCTATACACCCAATCCTCACTCCATGCCCTTTTTCTATGACATAAAATTTCCCTTGGAAAGCTTGATGGTTGAAAAGGTGCTCAACATTGAGAACAGGCTAATTCTCCTTTAGGGAACTGATGATCCTGCCTTTCTTAACAGAAGACTTGGATATCCTTGTGACTGGAAAATTTGCATGCATCCTTCGTAAGAGTCAGCTTGGCTCTCTAGCCTGAGCTGTTTGGAGCTCTTTGGCTTTTGCACTGAAATTGCAGCTTCCCAAGGACAGGAAGGGAATGGACAATTTTGTCTTCAGTAGGGAGAAAGGGCCAATCTCAATCCAGTTGTCTGATTCTACAAGCTAGCGATACAATGAGTTATTACTCACACAGTACTTGGCTTAGAGACAAAACAGTAAAAGTGTAAGTTGCAAGCCGATTTTCTCATTGACAATTTAAAATACTCTGAAATTATCCACACCTCTGATAAGAAAAAAGGGGGAAATACCAAGGAAAGTCAAAGCACGCAGATATATGATAGGGGAAAAGGGGGCTGGGAGCGTTGATTTGATAGCTTTCCTAGCTTTAGATGCATTTCTGAAGCCATTATTGTGGTGTAATCTCTCTCTATAACCCAAGGTGACTGGGGAATATATTAGAACCTGAGTGTTCTTGCCGCACTATTACAAAAACAGCCACTTTATTGCACAACACATTTGCTGTAGGCCTTCAATGCACTTTACTTGAAAACTAGTTAGACAATTTAACTTATTAAATTCTAGTAAGTTAAACCTGTGTCTTGTACAGAATTCCTCAGACTTCAATAACCAAAAACATAACAATGTTAGATTTTTAAACAACATTAAGTATAGCATGCAAACACACACACACACGAAAGCCAAAAATAATATAAATCCCACTAGGCAGGATTAATAAAAACCTTGGCAGGAACCAAGCAAGCTCACTGCAGACATTTTTGTGAAAACAATTACACTGACAAACACAATTACACAGTTCTACTTACACATGGACAAGGTTTCACTGCATCACTTGGAAAGAAACCCAGCTCCTGGGTCGCTAGATTTCTACCCTACAAGGAGACAAAAAGATCCTATTAGGAAACAAAGAAGCAATGTATCCACACATGCCATCCATGTTGTATATACGATCCTTGCATATTCAGAACATTCCAAACTGGCATTTCACAGACAAGTCATATGCCACCCAATAAACTGCTCATATGCTCAATGCATATGAAGTTTTGAGTGGTTAGACAAATAATGAGAGAGAAGGGAATGGAATGATAACTGGAATGTATGCCATCTTCCTCGAATGCACTTGAGATTCATCCCTAAAATAGAGATGGATGAATCAGTTTATGTCTGAACTGTATCACTTTCACATGTGTTCGCTCATGTTCATTATACCTATATCCGCATTTTAAAAAAAAATCTGCACAAAAATGCAAGCAAACATGTTTGTTTAACTGTGTTTTCAAAATGTATTTCTCTCCAAAGATGCACTATTTATGTGTACCTGTATGTGAATGTCGAGTCAAAATGAGTGTTGGAACATTTGGAAAAGCAGAAAAGCCAGTGAATAACTACGTTCTGATCAGGCACAAGGCAATTTGCTGACTGAAGTAAAGGATAAAATGGCCCCCTTGGCTCTGTGCTGCACACAGAAGCTGACAGGACTTCCAGCCGAATTTTCTTTCAGCGGTGGTGTTCAGATCATACCTGAGGACCGCAGGCAGGTTTAATGGGTGTAAGTTACGGCCCACACAGTTCGGTTTCCAAGCCAAGGAAATGACTGGTTGGCTGAAGAACAGCAAGGGATTGGCCCACTACTTCTGCTGTCTAAGGGATTCACCTCACTCTACCTAATGATCAGGCTGGCCCTGGTTCCAATTCACACATACGGCCAGGAGATGTGGAACAGGTCAGTTCATATGGTACTTTACAGACCAAATTCCTCAAATACCCCAATCCCCAGCCAGCTCCTCCCAGGAACAGCTATCTCGAGACAAAAGAATGCCAAATATTGTAATTTCTTGAGGCAACTTGCTCACTGAGCAAGCATCTCTCAAAGCAATGCACCAGGAAATGCTCAAATTTAGCTAATTGCTATTAAAAATTAAGTTGCAAGGAAACTGACTGGGTTATTGTTTCACACTCCCAAACTTTATCCATATAGTACGAACACATGCTTGAATATGCATCCCTTCATAGTTACTGGTTTCAAGCATCTGTGACTCCTGAGTACTCACAAAGATCACAACAGGGACCACAACAGCAGGGATACCTTGCATCACACCTTGTATCTTAGGAACTTATCCCTGTTCTGTGATAAAGGATTTACTGCAAGCGAACCCAAATTCTCCTCCTTAGTCCTTTCCACAATCATGTATGACCCACCCCACAGTGGAAGAGGCACTGTGTGGAGAACCTGACATGCAGTACAATCAACCTCAAAAGGCCCCTAAACTAGTACCACTGCTGAAGAGTACGCTGTGGCAAGTCTCGACTCCAGGAGCGTCTTGCCTTTTCAAACACTGAATACAGTTGCAGTTCTGAAACTTTTGTGTGTGTTTCCCTTTCATACAGAGCAAGGAGGAGCACTCTGAAGCCTGCACAGGATGCCAGGACATACATAACAACATTAAACTGTGATGCAGTGCTGACTTGGCAGGCTCTCTCTGCAATTGCACAATACTTTTAGTTGGATTATACATGCTGCAAACTCCAGAAAAGTCCATTTATTCTCTATACCAGTTTATTCCACTGAATCAAGATTTTGCCAAACTCAGTCGATCTGCTGAAAGCAATGGGATTTCAAATTGGAACCAATTCCTTGGGTTCTCTGCCTCCAGTTACAGATGAAGTCTACTATCCTGCCATCTCCCAAAAAACAGTTGAGAAGCAAATCCCAATGAAATCAGGTGGTGTTTTCTTCTTGAAATAAACATGCTTGTGATAGGCTATTTAATCTGATCAAATTGCAACCACAGCTAGAAAATATTTTCCTGCTCATCTCAAAAAGCTTACACAGCAATGCAAGTGGCACAGACTAGAAAGGACTCTGCATCAAATTCCATGCTTGAGACAACCTGCAAAGATCAGCAGGCAAAAACCCTAGAAATGGTGCAAGCAACAATCATCACCGACATGTTATACTCTCCTAAAACCTCAGGAAAGAAATGCCTCTGAAAGTCCAGTACACTTCAGTGGTGTTCCCTCTTCAAGAGAAACAGTACTGTCAAAATACTGTGCTCTTTTCAGAAGGCAAGATGCCTCCAATGGCTTGTGCCTTCACTGCCAGGGGGAGATATGCCTGACAGAAACAATCCATGCCAGAACCATTCGACACAGAGTGAACAGACATGAAAGCAAGGGGCCACATAGTGGGCTGCGTAGCTTGGAAATGGCATCCCATTACAGTGATGCAGGATGAGGGATGCAGAAAGGTACTAGCACCTGGCTGCCTGGAGACAGGCAGGAGAGGGGGTATAAGTAAGGAGGGGAGGCAAGGAAAGAGAGGGCCTTTCCACAATGATGAATAAAGCAGAGGTTATGAGGAACTGCAGGTTCAGCATTCTGAATGGCATGGCAGACAGAGAAATTCCTGTGCTAGAGAATGTATCGTCAGAAGCTGATTCTCAAAGTTAACTACAACCTCTTTGCAGGGTTATGCACTTATGACAGTTCCCTGGGAGACCTGGGCTTCTTTCAGCTTTGCAGAGTTGAATGCTATGTTGTAGGTTAAGCAGATCTTTCTTCCAAGTTGCTCTGAGGACCTGTTAGGAATTACAACTTCCCATACAAATACCATTTCTCAAGCCAGAACACTGACTGGCCCTGTGGAGATGGCCTGGCCTTTCACAGAAGTTAATGGCACCCTCGGCTTCTTAAGCTCAGCCTCCCCAACCCAGTGTGCTAATGGAAGCCAAGTGGGTGTTGCAGTCCAGCACACTGGGAAGGTACCAAGTTGCGCAAGGCTGCTATAGTTAATGACAGAGTAGTGTTTCTGCATCAAGTGCTTTACCTGCCAGAATAAGCTGTGCGCATCCCCTCTGATGAGTTCAATGATGTCCCCAACTTGGATGTGCAGTGGAGGACCATCTTGTGGAAATGGCTGTGGTATCCCGGTATAGTTTCTAATTACTTGCATTTTTGGTAAACCTGTAAATACGAAGAGGAGGGGATGGGGTTAGCTAAACAGGAAAAATCTTAAAGTTACACACACACACACACATATTATATGAACCTTCCAAGAGCCACCGCTAGTACCACTGAAATGGTGGCTGCGTTCATACAACCTGACAATCAACCCTGTGTGGTTACCACGCTTTGTGTTTTTCACCATGATCAAACCAGTCAGTCCTAGAGGAGATCAACCCTGACTGCTCTTTAGAAGGCCAGATCCTGAAGATGAAACTCAAATACTTTGGCCACCTAATGAGAAGGAAGGACTCCCTGGAGAAGAGCCTAATGCTGGGAACAATAGATGGCAAAAGAAGAAGGGGACAGCAGAGGATGAGGTGGCTGGATGGAGTCACTGAAGCAGTTGGTGTGAGCTTAAGTGGACTCCGGGGGATGGTGGAGGACAGGAAGGCCTGGAGGAATGTTGTCCATGGGGTCGCGATGAGTCAGACACGACTTCGCAACTAACAACAACACCTAACCAGTGATCAAATGGTTTCTCTGCTATCATGGTTTCTATCCTCCCTGTCCAATCTTCCCATTGTCAACATGTATCCCATCAGCCACTGTGTCTGAAATCCAACCTCAAGGTGCATCTTTCCCTGCCTATGTCACCTTCCTCTTTGAGTAGTCCAGACATAGAGGCTGGATGACTGGAGTGGCTCCTGCAGTTGCCACTCTTTCCAGAGGACTCTGTGGTACATGCATTCCAGGACCATAGAAAACATGATCCTGGGTTCAGACAGCATAACAAGCCATGGTGCTATGGAGAAACCACAGAACAAACTGTTGCTTGTTATCATGGTTTCTAAAGACCAAATTATCATGGTGAAATACCACAACTGGCTTCAGATAACACAGCAGACCAGCTGTGTGGGGGAAAATCACCATGGTGTGTCATGTAGTCTAATAAACCCAGCCCGTTTCTTCAGGGTAGTAGCTCCTGTCCTATAAAATTAAAAAAGCCTTAAACCACCAAATCAATGGGCCATTTTATGCTTTTAAACAACTCCCATGTTTTAGTTTTATGCTGCAACATAGAAACACAGGAAACTGCCCAGTTATCCCAGGACTGCTGACCTGTTCTGACAGCAACTGACCTAGGTTTTAGGCAGGAATCTTTCCAACCCTGCTTGAGGATGCTGGGGTGGAAAATGGGACCTTCTCCACACACAACAGATGCTCTGCCATTTTGCCACAGCCCCTCCCTGTTGTTTACTATTGTTATGCTATGTATTCTCATTGGCAATTTCAGTAATACATTTTAAAGTATACTGATGTTTTACTGTTGTTGTCAACTTCAATGACTATTGAAAAGTAGCACAAAATGGAAAATTACGAATAAAACTTAGATTTCATGGACAAAATTATAAACATGCAAAGAACAAAATGTTGGGTCAGATTATGAAACTCAAGGGGGGAACCATATGAATGCTTGAGATCGCCTGACTATCTCAAACAAGTGGCTAAGGGTGGAAAAATGGTAGAACCTGTTTCAACAGCTTACTGTACGTGACACATGAGCTAAATAATGAAAGGGGTTTTTTCCCGTCTAGTTTCCTTCTATTTATTTATATTTTGGCAGGGGGAGTTGGTTGTTCAAGAAAAATGTTTTTCTTTGCCCTGCTTCTTACTTCATAAAAGCACACCATGTACAGTTAAATGGAAAAGAATCAATTTTTTCTTCAGTTCAGTCCTGCCTCCTATTAATTCTCTCTTGAGGCACTAGTCGATTTCATTGCCATAGATGCTCATCCTTTCCGGAGAGCATATACGGCTCTGGCCCTGTAAAAGATTTATATCTCAAGATTATCTTTCTAATTTTAGAGCAAAAGAAGGAGGTGATAGATCTGATCAGTAATGCTTTAGATGCTGATAGGAAGGGTTGCATCAGTCTTCCTCGTGAAAAGGAAACATGGCCAAGACAACAGGAATCACAAACCTCCTCATGTTTCTGATATAATCCTTTGAAAAGAAAATCTCATTTTTCTTAAGTGTTATTGGATTTGCACAGTAATTCAAGCTTTCAGTGGCACTCTGCAAGCAAAATGACTGCAGTACCACACAATATAACAGGCCTCTCTGGTGGATTATGATGTTCAAAGGGCATCTTGCAACAGACAAAGGTTTTTACAGTATGCACAAACACTGCCCATCTTGTTCCCCATGAAAGGTGGGAACCAACGTCCTGATGCATTCTGGACATTTCCCTAAAACATGCAACAGGGTGATTTTGCAAATCTCGCAATAAGTATTTGGAAACATTTGGGACATGTATCCCTAGCTACAGATATGTTAACAACGCAAAAATGATAGTTTGATACATGAAAAACTAACAAATTAAGATCTATGTGCAGATCACATGAAGCATATACCCTTTAAAGAGTGAACAACTGCGCTGGGGCGGACCGTGTGATCAAAGGAACTGCCGGGGTTCACAAGGGTTTTCTTGAAGGACTTACTTTGTGCTCTTGCACTCGAGTACCCTTTGCCTAAATATGCTGTTTGTCTACATGTTAGAAACTTGTTTTTCTATGGAGGAACACTGAATCACACAATCCCTCACCTGTGTGTCTGTAGTATAAAATGTACAGTGCAGACATGGGCTTATTAGCTCAGCGGCTCTTACGGGAACACGGCCAAAACTTCAAGCCCATGCAAGACCACATTAAAGCGTTACTGCTATTTGCTCAACCAGGGAAGGTCACATCAGGTGATTTTTATCTCAGGTGTTAATTGTGTGCATACAGAATGTGCAGAGACTCATTGGGAGGTTACCAAGGAACATCTGACCAAAGGTGCAGCTGCTGAGCTGACAACAAACGTGGGGAGTCACTCCCTCCCCAAAGACCTTCCTTGCGATATGAGCGCTGCTTAAAATACTGTACTGGAGTCGCTGCTGTAATATGAGCAAGTTGTGATGCGACAAGTTGTGCAAGATGAGCTTCTGTGTGAAGACCGCCTGTTGGGGCAGAATATGCATCACATTTTATTCTTTAAGATGCCACGAGGCTCATTTTTCTTATCGGACATGATGCTTCAGAGCGCTTGCCAACTGCCCGAAAATAATTCGACTAGTCTTTGGGTCAGTTGTGTGTAATGTTTGTGTGTATGTAAAAAGCATAAATTTGAACTGGTTTCCAGGCTTTTTAAATTAACACAAGGAATGTTTTCTGTAAAAGCTGCGTTTTCACGTAGTAGGCTGGCTTAAGTGAAATCGCCCACACACAAATCAATTCAGCTCGTCCCTAGTATGACATCTCAAGCTATTCCTGTGTTAGAGGCTACAGAAGTTATCTGTGTATACAGCTTCTTTGGTCCACTGTAGCTGCCTGCACAAACGATACAAAGTTTTTGGAAACAAAAGGCCAGAAGAAAAAGGAGGTGATGATGACGGCAAAATGGGAGTTCATTGCTTTTATTCATAGCTCCCTTGCTGTTCTCTACCCACTCTGCCCACCCAGGTAGATTATTTTTTTTGGAATGAAAAGTGGGCAACTATTGCACTGGCATGCATGGCCTTTGGATGATCTCCAAATGGAGTGACCATTTCATATCTTGATTGCATGGACTCCCATGTGCAAAACCCACTGGTGAGGAACATAAAAATGCGTACGCATGCTGAGTACCAGACCCTCTCCACACAATCCTTCCTTTTTCCAACATGTTCCCCCAAATTCTCTGAGGGGATACATGCAAGATCCTCTTCCACAATGACAGGCATACAAAGGAAGGCAGATTTGGGGTATTCTCTAGAATGGCATCTTTTTTCTGGAAGTGTTTCATACTATTGGGCTTTTTAATTGTTTTATCTGTTTTGTAATGTCATTGGGAGTTGATCACTTGGCTATTTTGTTCAATTTTGCATGCCTCTGGGAAGCCCCTGTCTAAATAACTACTACAGATAAGCACAAAAATCCAGTATAGCAATAACATTCCAATAACATAATGAGTGAACAAATTCCATTTAAAAATAAGAATCGCAAGGTATCTATTTACTGTGCAACATTTGGTTATGTTTTCCTTTTTTGTGCTGTGATAGCAGCACACGAAAATAGGAAGGCGGTACTCCATGGACCACATTCGCTTTCAGTCCAGCTTATGAAAATTGTTTTTCAAATATATTTGCCCATTTGTGTCCACCGTTATAAGGCCTGCTGAACTCACTGGCCACTCAATTCGCTCCCTAATTGTGCAAAGACTCTCCAACTAAATGGAACATTTCTGACTCATGCACAGCAAGCTCACCTGAGATTTCAGCCCACCCAGACATTTGGCGATTGCCTGTATTGATTACAGATACAGAATGGAGATAACATACATTATTCATGATCTTTAAAGTTTCAGAACAAGGAAGAAAAATCAGCCGCATCATGTTAACAAGCAGCCAGCCTGAGCTCCTTTTCAGAGGCAGGGGATGTATGTAAACTAAGGTATGGGCATAAATTAAGTGGACATTGTTCAGTACCAGATTTTAAAAGGATTTTTTAAAAATCTGGCCACCCAGCTACATAAACAAACCATAACTTCTCTATATGAACATGAATCTATTGCAAATATCTAATGGTGCAGACCTTAGCTGATCTGAGTCTATAGTTTTCAAAAAGTACATATTATACTCTTGGATCATTGATGAGAATTTTTAGGCTTTTTAGCACCAGCTTCAAAACCATTAGAGATGCTACACAGTTATTTATTCCAGCTGCTGAACAGGAAGTCCACCCAATATGTAGTATGCTGCTGAATCTTTAATTATGTTATAGGACAATGGTAAATGCACAGGTCCCTTTTAATGATTGCCTCTTTTCCAATTCCCACTGTTCCCCTGTACTTTGACCATGGGCCAGATTTAATTTAAGCAAGAGCTTAGGTCCAGAAATTAATTTTAAGTGCCAATTTTCAGTTTCTTAATATGTGGGAATATTAGGAGACATGTCTTTTCCTTGATCCAAAGGAAGCCAGGTATCCCAAGCAATATG